AGCTCTAGCTCCTCAAATATTGGAAGGCTGCTATCCTGTCTCCCCTGGTCCTTCTCTTCCCTAGACTAGCCATGCCCAGTTCCTGGAACTGTTCTTCATATGTTTGAGCCGCCACTCCTTTAATCATCCTAGTTGCTCTTCTCTGTACTTTTTCTACAGTTTCAACATCTTTTTTATAGTGTGGTGACCAAAACTGGATGCAGTACTCTAGGTGTGGTCTTACTAGGGCTTTAGAGAGTGGTGTTAGTACCTTACTTGATCTTGATTGTATCCCTCTGTTAATGCAGCTAAGGATTGTGTTGGCTTTTTTGGCTGTCGCTGCACACTCTTGGCTCATGTTTAATTGGTTGTCCACTAAGACTCCAAGATCCCTCTCCCAGTCCATGCTATTAAGCCTGGTTTCACCCAGTCTACATGTGTCCTTTTGATTTTTCTTGCCTAAGTGTAGGACTTTGCTTTTCTCTTCCTTGAATTTCATTTTGTTAGATAGGACCCAGGGTTCAAGTCTGGCAAGATGCATCTAGATCTTGAGCCTATCTCCTAGGGTGTTAGCTATTCCTGCCAGCTGACTTCTGCTTTGGGGGCACTTTCCCCATTGCTGTGGGGCAGCCATTTTAACCACACAGGGCTTGCTCGTTCCAAGAGGTTATGGAATTGTTATAATGAGGCTGTGCCAAGAATGGATGGACACATGCTCTAATATTCATGTTACCCCCGGGGATTTGTCTCGGAAGCATGCATGTTTTTCATTTTCCCCGTCTGCTTAATCGCTGACTGTGCAGATCTAGCCAGGGAAATGGTTTTTATCTTATGTCTAAAGAAGGAATGGGCCCTTCCTGCCTTATGTAAAGGAGCCAGATAGATCAGCAAACACCTCTTGGTTTAATCCAGATGTTGGGACAATATATATAGAGAGCAGCAGGTTACTCTATGAGGCCCAGGATATGCTGTCTGGCATACAGTGAGGAGGAGGAGGAGGGAAGAGGAGAAGGAGAAAGAAAGAGGAGGGAAGAGGAGGAGGAAGAGGAGGAGAAGAGGTGGAGGGTTTCCTGCCTAAGCAGGGGGTTGGATTAGAAGACCTCAAAGGTCCCTTCCAACTCTGTGATTCTATTCTACTCTACTCTACTCTATTCTATAAGAAACCATTTGACATGATAAGCAATGTAATCCAATTGCTTGTTTGCCAGTTCCTTGAGAAGGAGGAGGAGGAGAAAGAGAAGGAGGAGGAAGAGGAGGAGAAGCAGAAGAAGCAGAAGAAGAAGCAGGAGGAGGAGGAGAAAGAGAAGGACTAGGAGGAGGAGAAGCAGAAGAAGAAGCAGAAGAAGAAGCAGGAGGAGGAGGAGGAGGAAGAGGAGGAGAAGAAGAAGAGGAGGAGGAGAAGAAGAAGCAGAAGAAGCAGNAGAAGAAGAAGAGGAGGAGGAGAAGAAGAAGCAGAAGAAGCAGGAGGAGGAGGAGAAGAAGAGAAGGGTAGAGAAGAAAGTAGATTGAGCTGAGGTTTAGCTTGATCATGGAAAGAAAACAGAAAGTTCTTCTAAAGTTGGCCTTCAAATTGTATATGTGTGTGTGTGTGTGTGTGTGTGTAGAAACAGATCCTTCTGTAAAGATTAGAACAATCTGCAGCACATCTCTCTTCTGCTTTTCCATCTGGAAACCAAGCAAGCTTTTAAAAAGTTTGTGCCCATTAAAAAAAACATAATAATCTGGATCTACTTCCCCTAAAAACGACATGTTTGGGGTGAAAAGGCAATGGAAACTAAGGGAGACGTATCCCACTCTGACAGCTCTCTAGGTGTGTGGTTATAAAAGCTTGTATGTTTTCTCTTTCAAACTTTTCCCTTGGCTATAAACCTCCTGCACGCATCCAAATCTTTCTTTCATCTGTTTTTCTTTTTCTTTTTCTTTTTGTAATGGAATAGACTGTTTTGGATTTGGATCTGGGAAAATCATTAAAAGAAACATTGCCTTCTTGATGCTCTGTGGGACTCAGAGAAGAAACACTGGATGGCAACTAATCAAGGAGGGAATCAACCTGGAACCAAGGAGAAATTTCCTAAGAGTGGGGACAATTAACCAGTGGAACAGCTTGCCACTAGAAGTTGCGGGTGCTCCATCACTGGAGGTTTTTAAGGAGAGATTTGGACAGCCACTCGTCTGAAATGGTACAAGGTCTCCTGCTTGAGCAGGGGGCTGGACTAGAAGACCTCCAAGGTCCCTTCCAGCTCTATTCCAATTCTGATTCTGGAAGGCGGGATTGAAAATTTAGGACTAATTTGGATGTTTTGTGTGTGTGTTAATTTTCAAGGGGACAAAGCAGTATGGATAGTCCCGCACTTCAACAGTTCATTAAGCGACTATTCCAAATTACAACACCACTGAAGGTAGGAAGTTAGTCATACATTTTTCACCCTGTTGCAGAATCCCCGTGGTCAGGACCCTGGGCAACTGACTCACATTTATGACGGTTGCAGTGTCTCGTGGTCAGGTGACACCCTTTGGGGAGCCAGATTCACTTCCCAACCGCGTGACTAATTTCACATCTGCAGCGATTCACTCAACAAAGGTGGCAAAGGAATATCGTAAAACGGGGCGAAATTTTCACTGAACACATTTCTCACTTAGCAACGTAAGTTGAGGACTACCCGTATTACTGAATTTGGGGTTGCAGAAAGCCAAAGTGAATGTGTGTGTGTGTGTGTGTGTGCGTGTTTTAATGCAAATTTCACCCGTTCCAATGATCACTGTTTACACAGACACATACCTAATTTGCTGAAATATATAACATAAAGGCACGAGATGAGAGGGGGGGAAAAATTAACATCCAGATGCTAATAATGTACATATTAGCCCACAGCTCATAAACTCTACAGAGTAAAGCTTTGATCTTATTTCTCCTTCAACTATTGAAAACCCCTCCAACTGAGACCAATTTTTCCTCTTTGTTCGTGGTTTCACTATTTGTTTGCAATCAGGTGCGTCTGACATTTTATATTGCAGACAATGGGCTCTTGCCCGATTAGTTCAGAAAGGTGTTGATTTTCTCCCAAAAATACAGGATATTCCCCCCCCCCAAAAAAAAAACCCCACTCCTGTTTTTATGGTATGTTGACTCTGCTTTCTTGGAAGGAAACTAGGAACCAGTTTTCAAACTAACAAGATTTATTGAGTGTTGCAAACTTTGGGGGAATTCCATCCCAGGTGTGGAGCGGTTAAACTGATGTGGAATGTGACCAAGGGTGAAGGCATTTGATGAAATGAGGTGTAATTCCCCAAATCTTATGCCTTTTCAATAAATTAAAAAAAATGTTCTACTACACTCTTTCTATTTTGGCATCTGCGCAAAAGGCAAAATACTAGTTTGTGCTCTGAACTGAAAGTGGAAACTGTTCTTTCCTCTGCCTTGTGTGTTTGCTTGTATCTACCACGTTGGAAGAACCTGTTGTTGCTATTGCATATATGACTTAAATGTTGTATTATATATAAACAGAAGTTAATGAATCTGGCTGAATCAGTTAACCTGTGTGTGCTTTCTGGATTTGATTCCTGAAACAAACTCTGACAGGTTGGCATGGAGGAAGCCACAACGGAAATATCCTTTAGAAAATAGCTCTTGTTCAATAGGGTTCTCCCAGCCAGATGTTTGGGGTTTCAACTGCTGGAATTTTTTGCAAGGAGAAATTTGGAAGGTAGCTGCTTACCCATGTGGAGGACGTCAAAGGTGAGGAAAAAGGTTTGAGAAGCACCAAAAGAAAGTCTATCTTTGGGACAACCATGATTGAGGATCTCCACAGACAAGACTAGAGAAGGCATCTCCCTACTTCTCAATGCATTTAGAGGAGACCAACTTCTTCACAGTGGCGCCAGAGAAAAGTGGATGATCAACAGATCTCCCAGTGGACTTAAGTGAGGAGAAAGAATCTCACCTACCTGTAGAACCAGTGACGGTTGAAGGCTTACTCTTGAGTCTGCCTTTTTCAGCCACGAGGGTGATGGTGTATTCCATCCCAGCATCTAGGGAGCGGAGGATGTAGGATGTGCTATCAGCTGGAATCTCAATTTCATTCTTCTTCCCCAGTGGGGTGACGTAAGTAAGGCGGTAGCGGTCAATTTTGGCCAAGGGTCTCTTCCAACGTAAAGTAAAAGCAGTTTCAGTAGGATCTACAACCTCCAGGTCCTTGGGACTATCCAGATCTGTGGATGAGAAGAAAGGATTTTTTGACTATTATTAGGTCCCTGAAATGGAATATATACCATATTTTTCGGAGTATAAGACACACCTTTCCCCCCCTAAAAGAGGGTGAAAATTTGGGTGCGTCTTATACACTGAATGTAGCCCCACCCACCGACCGTCCCCCCACCCTTGGGCCTCTGCCTCCCAACAATTTGCCTCCTTGCAGCAAACGGGGAAAATGGGGCTTGCAGAGGCTGCAATAGCCAATAGCAATCCCTGCAGCCTGAAACAGCTGGTGATCGGGAGGCTCAGGCTGAAAGTGAAAGTGAAATTTGCTGTTTGTTGCAAGGAGGCAAATTGCTGGGAGGCAGAGGGAGATTTTTTTTTTCTTGCGCTAATCAGGCTGTTTGCTGTTTGCTGCAAGGAGGTAAGTCAATAACTCTAAATGCCTATTCATATTTATTTTTATTTTTTTAAAGATTTTTATTAACAAACATGTAAAATACACACACACAAAACTTAGACGTATACCACATTTACACAATACAATACAAACAGGAGCTTCCTGTTCTTAATAATAGCAATTGCCAATCGATACCGCTCACCTTATATTATTTCCCCTTCTATTGTATTTCATTTGGATTTCACCATTCTTAACCCTCTTATTTTACTCATAACNCACAGCCATCCATTGCAACTGGGAAAACCATCGCCTTGGCTATACACACTTTTGTTGGCAGGGTGCTTTTTAGTATGCTGTCTTTGTATGTTATGGTATGTTTAGTATGTCCTCTTTGTGATAGCCCCACAGACACTGGACGACTGCTATCATGTCAACCTTAGTCCTCCTCTCTGTTAGATCAGACATGACTACTTTCTTCAATTGTTCACCATGCTATTTCATCTCCAGATCTTTTATCACCTTTGTTGCTTTATTGGAAGATTATCATGTCACCCTTAGTTCTCCTCTGTCTCCCGAAAGAGCCGGAAGGAGCCTCTTGTTCACCCTACTAGCTTTGCCCACGGCTCAGGAGGGAGATTCAAATCAGCATTCCTAGCACCGTGACACGGGGTGCAAGTTTCCCATGGTCCCCTACCCCATCTCAAGTTTCTTTTTGGGAAGACATATGTCCTGCTGGCAAATATCAATGACTTTGAAAACTTTTAGGTTTCGGGAAGTTCTACTGCCAAGTTACACATCATCGGGAGCTCATTTTCCCCCCCTTCCTTTTTGTTTTCAATGACTTCACAGTGGATCGGGCAAACACGGTTAGACCCTCCTCCATTTCAAACTCACAGAGCTTGTAATTCTTTCTCTCCCTCTCTTCCCTCCAATAAATCAGAGCCATGAATGCAAAATTTAAACATAACGCTGCCGCTGTTCATTTCCAGGATCATTCGGGGTTTTGCCAAAAAATACTCCAGCTTCAATTCAGAATTAGCCCTTTCTGGAAAAGATTTCTTTTCTTTTTTTAAAAAAAAGAAAAATCTATTAAACCTTCTTTGTGGTTGAATGGCTGCTCTACTGTATAAAACTCCCATGGCTTCTTTGTAGGGTGAATAGAATGTCTGTCTGCTGGTTGTTACTCATGGAACAGAAGGGGGGGGGAGTTTCCGCTAATGAGAGATAGAAAGCCTATATTTGGCCATGCTGAAAATGGGGGAAATGGGATGGAGGCAAGCCAAGGATAACGTAGATCTAGCGGGATTTGATATTGTATGTTTTGCAAAGAGGGGAGTAAGTAGTGCGACTGGGTCCATTAGTACTTGGGGAATTTTATTTTCATCCTATCCCAATCACGGGATGGTCCTACAACAGTGAGTAAAAAGGGCTGTCAGGAAGCATCTTCTCAACTCATGAGGCACGGTGGGCATAAATATCTACTAACAGAGATACAAAAGTGGGCATAAACAGGTTGACTACCCCTGATCTGGCTCCTCCTTTTACTGATCTCGGAAGGATGGAAGGCTGAATCAATCTTGAGCCTGGTGAGATTTGAACGGCCAAATTACAGCCAACTGGCAGTCAGCAGAAGTAGCCTGCAGTACTGCACGCTAACCACTGCATCACCATGGCTTATAAAACATAAACCAATCCAATTATTCAAATGAGCTGGATTTGCATAAAGCTTTAAAAGAAGGAGAAGGAAGTGAAGGAAAAGAGAGACAATGAGGAGGAGGAGGAGGAGGAGGAAGAGAAGGAGAAGATAGATAGGAGAAGGGTGAAATCTTATTATTTTAATCCCGAAACATAAAGTTAATCTATTTGCTCATCTTTGTTGATCTACAAATAAATACAAACCAGGAGACAGAAATGATAACGTAGATGGTATTGGTTCAGTTTGTAAATGATAATGTTAAAGGTTCCCCTTGCATATATGTGCTAGTCATTCCCGACTCTAGAGGGCGGTGCTCATCTCTGTTTTAAAGCCAAAGAGCCAGCGCTGTCCGAAGACGTCTCCTTGGTCATGTGGCCGGCATGACTCAATGCCGAAGGCGCATNAAAAAAACTTCAGGTTTCCATTCTATTTTAACCCCTGTTATTGCCTCCAGCCAATTTTTGATCCTTTTCCAAAAATTTTAATCCTCTATTCATATTTATAACGGTCGCCGTGTCTTGGGATCCTGCGATCTTTTTTTTTGTGTGTGACCTTCTGACTGTCCTGGTGTCTAGTTGTTCTAGTGTGCAGTGCCCAATAGCATCGTTTCGAGGGTAGGAGTTGAAACAAGTTAGGTACAAGATGCGAAGGGTTTGCAAACATTTTCACAGAACCTCTTTTTGACTCAATGGAAGGCAGGTTAGGTAGCCATGGTTTTTTTTCCTGCAGTCCTGATTCTCCTCTGAAGTCTCTGTCTGTCTGGTTGGGTTGCAGAGCCAAACCAGACCATTACAGAAGTGCCAATGGCAGACAATTGTCATACTACGCAGGCTGCCCAGGAAAAATAAATCCATCAAGGAAACCCACATCGAGATCCTGCGATTTGGATTCCCCTCCCTCCATTATACGCCCCATATGGAACATGTTCTCTTACGCAAGAGACAGTGGTGAAGAAATGAACCTCCCTGAGCTCAAAACTGGCTCACGGACACACCATGGTTAGCCACAAGTGGACGGGTGACATTTAGCTGCATCCAAATGACTCTTATGTGGGAAGAAGATGTGCATTTCCTGTCCATATCCGAGTTGTCTCTTTTCTCTTTCCCACTCCAAATTAAGTGGGGGGGGGGGGGAGAGCTGATTTAAGTCTTTTTTTCCCGTCAGTCTAAACTGCACATTCAGGCTTAACTCTGGCTCAGGAACTCAACTCTACTAAATCCCCGTGGCTTTCTTTTTTTGTCTTCCCACTCATTTCTCTGGTTTGGCTCACTTTTTTGAGCTGTCTAATGCGTTTCTTCTCCCCCTGTAATTATCTTTTGACCAATCAGAAAAGTCTCTTCGTTGGAGCCTCTGGGCCAGTTTTGTGAATTATGTCAAAGGGGTGTAGGAAGTTTATGACCCAGCCCTCTCCCAGAAAAAAAATGAAATATCCTAGGAAATATTGAAAAGGCAGTATATTTCTCTGGATGTGAAAAGGAAGAAACCTGTTTTAAAAGACAGAATAGCTGCCTGCAGCTTCCTGCCCATCCCCACTTTATCAATGAGCCATTGAAGCCTGAGCTAGTCCACTTTACATAATTCACAAATCTCCCCTTCAGCTCCAGGGGGATGGGATTAAGGCATGATAATATTGGCCCTTTACCCAGAAATGGAAAAAACAAATTAATTCCAAGC